TGTGCCATTAACCATGACACCATTCTCTTGCTAGATATTGTGTGTGGCAATTAAATGGGTCACTTCACTTATTATTKAATTGAATGATATCGAATTCCTTCTGATCTGATATTTTCTCAATTCATGATGAACATTCAAAACAGCTTGATATTGCTGCTCCTGGTGCCAACATCTTGGCTGTGTACACAGGAATCGTGTCAATTTCCAGCTGGCCAGATGATGATCGGTTTTCCAAATTCGTAATGATGTCTGCTACATCCATGCATGGATAAAACTAAGCTCACTTTCTCTCTCGCTGATCATCTTCAAATGTATTCTTCAAAGCACCCAAATGGATAAGTGGGGTGGCTGCCTATGTCAAATCAATGCACCCAACTTGGTCGCCGGCAGCCATCAAATCTGCCATCATGACAACCGGTAAAAAAYTCYTAYGCCTTCTTTCTTTATTTAACTTCCTAAAGAAAATGGATAAAACTAAGCTCACTTTCTCTCTTGCTGATCATCTCCAAATGTATTATTCTGATGTAAATATGTATGTTTTGTATTAATCAGCTACACCAATGAGTTCTACTGTCAACCAAGAGGCCAAATTTGCGTATGGTGCTGGTCAGGTGAACCCACTGAAGGTTGTCTCACCTGGATTGGTCTATGACATGGATGAAATGCAATACATTGAGTTCTTATGCAAAGAAGGTTACAGCGGTACAACCCTAAGTATGATAATTGACTCAAATCCTATCGACTCCTCCTCACTTCCATGCAGCTAATTGTGAATGAAGCTATTGAGCCGGTAACTGGCGTGTTCAGAAGGACAGTCACTAATATGGGGTTAGCAGGGTCCATATACAATGCCACCATAAATGCAGCACCTGGTGTAGAGATTACTGTCGAGCYCATGAGTCTGTCATTTTCTAGCATTGGTGAGAAGMAGAGCTTCACTGTATCGGTCAAGGCAAAACCCAAGAATGATCAGAGCTTCACTGTATCGGTCAAGGAAAAACCCAAGAAGCATAGCTTCACTGTATCGGTCAACATTTCCCCAGTTTGTGATCCCGTGTTGGTTGGAGATAGTTTGAATTCTTTTCAAGTTTCGGATATTTCTTTAAAGAAATATGCAAAATCAATTATGATTATTCTTTTTCAGTGATTGGTTAGTGTTCATTTCAGGTTTGCAGCAGCATTACATGATCTCGACTTCTAGAGATTGGTTGTTGGGTGATGAAAAGCTTTTTTTATTAAAGAATCAATATGAACCATGCATTTGTTTTATTAATTTTATGCTTTAGGTTTCAGCAAGTGTCAACTGAAATTCTTATTTATAAAAAAAAAAATTTAAAAACCTAAGCCGGTGGTCAAACAAACCGCCACCTTTGGTAAAACATTACACTTAAACCGGCGGTTTATATAATGTCTATGCCGGCAGTCCAAACTGCCACTTTTGTCGAAATAAAACATTAATAGTGGCGGTTTAATTAGATGAAAATTTGGTCTAATCCAGCGGTTAACCGCCGGATTTGATTACAAAATTTAACTAAGGTGGCATTTTGTGGTAGTGACAAATTAATCTAAGTTGGCGGTCAAGGGCATTGGCTCAATAACTAAGCCGACAATTCTCTAAAAACCGCCACTCAATGTATGGTCGGACCGGGTCCCTAGGACGGTGGTCTTTGTATTCTAGACCGGTGTCCATGACCTAGGGCGATGCAAGTAAAGAAGGTGGCCACTGAACCGCCGGCTCAAATCTATGCCGGCAGTTTAAAAGGCTAAGCCGGCATTTTAGCAAGCGCCGGCTTAGCCTGTTTTTCTTGTAGTGCCTGCCTTTTGAGTATAGACCTGGAACTTCAGTTGAGGATGATCTGGAGACACGACATGTGTACCTCAAGTAAGAAACACAATAATATTCTCCCAGCGAATATTTAAGGACATACCACCCAAGGTAAACTTTTCTTTATGCTCTCTACACCCTACCATTCTAACTGTCCTGCCTTCTGCTTGTTTTTCGAACTTACTTGATCGGTTATAACTAGCTTGTTTTAACTAATTTGGGTTAATTGACTACCTCATCTGTTTAGCGTTTACTGACTTGAGCGTTAGTAGAGTGCTCTTCACTACATTAAAGAGATAATCCAAACGCATTGATGATCCATCAAGTCCTGATGAGACAACCAAGAACATCCTTGATCTGGCTTCATTTCTCAAATCTTTATTGATCAAGTTTATCATCATAATATCAAAATTAAAGCTTTTTGAGAGATTTGATTTGTTTCCCTTTAACCCTTTTGGGCGTGCTATGCAACACCTTCATCTTCGTTTTATCTGTAATAATAGATCAAGTGGGACCCATTTATGATTGACCCGTGGAAATTTAGCTTTTTCAAAGGAGTAAATATGACAAAAAAAAAATCTGAGAGATGGGAACCCATTTTTCAGGTCAAAGTGGATGAAACTTCAGTCCTGTCATTGTTAAATCGTTAAATAGTAACCAGGTAGACAGCACACCAAAAGGAAAAAACTTTTGGGGTTGAAAAGGATATAAAGTAAAGCATAGCACCAAGAAGATTGTCCCGAGTTTGGGGAAGGAATTATTGTCATTAGATTGGGCAAGTGGTGAGTGGAGTGAGCACTATTTAGAGTTCAATTTGGTTCCTTCCCCATCTGGTTTTTTGTGTCTGGCCCGGCCCCATAGTCCACAAGGCCAACTCCAGCCTTTATAATATTAAAATTGAAACAGGGGTAATGCCCAAGTTAGGCCCCAATATCTAACTCACTATAATCTAATAATGCTTGGAAAGGCAAAAGTTTGACATTATTCAATACTGAGTCTCTAGTACAACACCAAAGAATAATAAGGGAGAGAGAGGCCCTAGTGCCTTTAATGAAGATAAATCAAAAAAAATTATTTTTTTGAAATGTAGGTGTGATACAAACGTTTTTTTTTGGCAAAGGTAATCCTTTGATTCTCTTGTTACGAATACAATCCAAACTTGTATTTGTAACTTGTTACGAATATGATCCGAAAAATTTTGACAACTTGTAATTGTAGAAAGAATTTGCAATGATCAATTGTATACACACAAGATAGGAGAATTTTCTTTTTTTTTTTTTGTTGTAATAATTTGATGAAGCTTTTGATTACAACAACCCAAAGGCTGAATTCCTTTAACTGACGTGGCATGGAGCTGTAATGGTTTCGAAGCTTTAATGATCGAGGAGCTGAAATTCTAATTCATCTTCTCTTGATGTTGGTGCAGCCCGTCTCTTGTTCTCATGAAACTTGTTCTCCATTTTCAAGGGGGTCGTTCCTCTTATCCCATCCCCCCTTTTATAATTAGTTGGGTTCAATTTTCAGCCATGATTCCCTCTCGTTTGACAATAATGAAAGTGTGGTTATGGTTGATAATTGCCATTTAATTGGGGGAACCACAAGATTGGCTTGATAGCTGTTAGTAGGATTCTCTCCACCAATTTTGGTTTAATCCAATCAAGATTGATTGGTGAGGCTTGCTTAAATGGCCAATCGGCAAGAGCTTGACTCCACAAATCTGGTTAAGCTACTCCTTTTCATATCTAAGTGTGATTGCCATTCAATTGTGTCCCAGTTGAGTAAATCCCTCAAATTGATTTGAGTGAATCCTCAAATTTAGCATGATTTGAAAAAAAATATTTATCATTGCCAACTTTGCAATATTTTATCATTTTCTTCCTATTATGCCAAGGTGAGATAATTGGGTGTCTTCACATAAAAAGGTAATTTATTCAATTATGATTAATTTGGGTGAAATTATAGCCATTTAAATGCCCCCCACCAAGCTGATTGAACCTCTTGATTTGAAATAATCACTCTAATTCAACGTGATTAGAGAGAAAATATCTTTAATTGAAATATAGTGGGCCTTCAATTTAGTGGGACGCTTAAGGATTGCCATGTGGCATGGGACTAATGTCCATTTACAATGGACCCCAACCCTACACCATCTTGGGCTTGAGCTCAACCATTTCTCCTTTTTTTTTTTCTCCAATTCATATTTAGCTTCAATTTCGTGGGCCAATACCTTAGAGGCCCCTATATTCCTTTCCCCATTCATTTCATACTTGGCCTTAATGCATTTCTTGGGCCAACATCTTCAGTAAGTTGAAATTTATATACCAACAAATGCCCCCTAAGTTGGTGGTTATTATTGTAATTGGCAATGCAATTACCGACTTGCAAAGTTTTGCACTCTTGCAAGCAAAAGTAAGAATTTCTTGAATCATTTGCAATTTCACTCATGTAGATCATGAGTTTTTTTTTTTTTTCCATTCACAATTTATACTCGTGCAAGTCAGGAATAGTGTTTTTTTTTTAATATTTGATTTAGTTGTTCACAGTTTATACTTGTGTGGGCCAGGAGTAATAATTTATTTTGCAATTGCACTTTTACAAGTTGCCTCCCTACCCTTAAAGGAATCAAGTCATGCCACAATTCATGAAGTGACTTGTACTTGCGATTTTGGGGCTTTGTAGATAGTTTAGGTTCGTGTTCGGGAGAACATTTTAAGTTATTTTGGAAGTTGAGTAGTTCATACTCATACTCAAGAGTCTTGTAGACAGTTTATTCTCGTATCTAGGAGAAAATTTTGAGTAGTTTATACTCATACTCTTGGAGTTTTGCAGACAATTTATACTCGTATCCAAGAGCAAATTTTGAATAATTTCAAAATGAAGAGTAGTTTATACTCATACTCTTGAAGTTTTGTAGACAATTTATACTTGTATCCAGGAGAAAATTTTGAATAGTTTCAAAATGACGAATAGTTTATACTTATACTCTTGGAGTTTTGCAGACAGTTTATGCGAGTATCCGGGAGCAAACTTTGAGTTGTTTAGGAGGTCAAGTAGTTTATACTCATACTCGGGAGCCTTGTAGATAGTTTATGCTCATATTYAGGAGTATATTGATTGAGTTTTTTTTTTTCTAATACAAGGTTTAGGTTCATATCTAGGAGCACGAATAGTATACTTTGTAGTACTCTTGCAGAGTAATTAGAAGCCGGGGGACTTGTTTCAAAACTTCATTGATTATCACTCGCGGTCGCTGGGTAGCAATGTTCTTGCCTTGTCTTTTCTTGCTTTTGGGGAGTCTCTATGATCGAACCTTCCTTTTAATTTGCTTTGATTGTCCACAAGGTAGAGTGGATTGGTGTGTCACATGATGCCCCTGCCGTGTAATGATGGGCTAGTCATCTTTTGAGAGTGACGTGGTGGACCAGAGTGAAGGAATTTCCTTGGAACTTAAGGCCTGTGCTTGTGCTCGATTTAGTACTACCCCTAGTGTATGGCAACAAGTAGAAGGGTCACTGGGGATTTGTGTTTCATTTAGTTATGCCCCCGATGTAAGCTCATAGATGACAAGACAATGAGGGCATTGGAGGCTTTCAGGTTCAAATGATCCAAATGTAGTGGTTGTCATGTTGGTGGTCGCTATGTCCTTGGATTTAGTTCGATCACTCTTGATTCGACCAATTTTATTATCTTGTCTTTGAGGACAAAACATTTCTCAACTGAGTGGCTAATTACCCGATGGTAATGACAATACTTCGGATAATCAAATTTTCCTTTCTCTTATAGGCGTTTACTATTAGGAAGCTCTATAAGCTTTCTAGTTAGAAGGGCATCCAACATTTTCGGGATATCTAAATTAGGAAATGGATACACCTTTGCTTACAATTCATTAAGAGTGAGTTTTGGATTTTCTTTCTCTTGTTTAATATTTGATTTTATTTCTTTATTGCTTTTTTTCTTCTTGATAACCTCGAGAGGGGCTATTGAAGTTGCTAGAACTTGCATCGGCTTAGACAATTTTATCTCATTTTCACCATCTTTCTTTTCCTTTTCCCTTTGGAAATCATCCAGGTGATGTTCTCCAAAGGTGGCCAAGCTAAGTTCCATGTCATGGGCGCAGGTGGCCAATTCCTCAAATGTTCGGGGTTTTATTCTCTTGAGGATGTAATGCAAACCCCAACCCATGCCTTAAATACAAGTATCAATAGTYGAAACTTCTAAGAGCTTGTCTCGACAATTGAGGTAGAGATTTGTCCACTTGTCAATATAATCAACGACTGGTTTATCTTTTTTCTATTTTGTGGTAGTGAGTTCGTACATGCTTACAGTGCGTCGAGTACTATAGAAGCGATCAAAGAACTCTCTTTCTATTTGATCCCAACTATCGATTGATCCAGAAGGGAGGTTGGTGTACCAGTCAAATACATTTCCTCGTAGAGATCATACAAATTGCTTTACCAATAAATCATTGAAATTTTCGACATTATTACATGTCTCTACGAAGTGCACAATATGTTGCCTAGGGTTACTTTTCTTGTCAAATTGTTGAAACATCGGGGGTTGGTACCCTAATGGCATAAGCATTTGATCAATGCGCTCAATATATGACTTAGTATACACTGAGGATTATTGTGAGACACCTCCTTACTAAGCACATATTGTGTAAGCTATCATGTTTTGGAGTTGTTGTATTGAGAGGGAGGCAACCGAAGCATGTTGGGCATCCCGCATGTTAGTACATTCTAGCAACTCCTCTCGGGGAGGGTTTACTTGCGGGGTGAACCCTAGTGGGTGTTAAGGCCCTTGGCTGGATGCTATTGTTTGCATTTGTCCCATTTGGTTCATAAGAGAAGCAATTTTAAGAAWGTAAGCAATTTTAAGGTCCTTCTGTTCCACATTCTTTGCTAACTTAGCAATGGCCGCAGCCATTTCAACAAATTGTTCTTCCACTATAGTAGCTCCCGCCATCACAACAAGTGCTACCGAAGTATAGGAGTATGTCTGTGTGTAATTGGACCCTCCGGTCTTAGGGGAGTTGGGATGAGAGTCGGTCTTTGAGCTGGTACTAGATTCCGTGTCTGACACGGGTATTTGTTCAATTGGATGCTCAAGTGAAGTTGTTGAGATCAATTCTTTTCTCAAGCTACCCCTTAATAGCGTCTTTCACCATTGGTAGCCTTAAAGGTTCCGTTTTGGGGTTTCGGCTATTTGAAGGGACCCCTATAGTTGTACAAGGAGCAAGAGGATGCAACCAATTGTGAATTCCTAGACCTCATCATGAGACGAGTGTTTGGTCTCTCATACTTAGAAGTTGGCAAAACACTTGAACTAGATGAACTTGTACTATAAGTTGCATTTTTCTTGTTGCCGATGACACTTGAAACGGTTTTCTTTGGAGCCATGTGTCCAAACCGTTTGCAAAAACAAACTTGATGTATTGACTTAAGAGATGAGAGGAAAGAAGGTCCCGCCAAGCGTGCCAAAAATTTGTTGACACAAATTTTGAGCTAAATTTGCTAAATTTGGAGCACAAAAATTAATGAAGACAAATCAAAGAAATTTATTTTTTTTGAAGTGTAAGCGGGATACAAACTCCTTTTTTTTTTTTTTTTTGGTAATGGAAACCCTCTGATTCTTTTGAAAACAATAACCCAAAAGTTGGAGTCCTTCAGCTGACGTGAACGGAGCTGTAATAGTTTCAAAGCTTTAAAGATTGAGGAGCCAAAATTCTAATTCTTCTTCTCTTATGTTGTG